GCGATGCACTTGTTCCTAGTAGCTTCTTGTTACTACTAGTAAGGCACCTGTTACTACTAGCGTGGCACTTGTTACTAAAACCAGGCAAGGCCAAACGCATGCGTCCTTGTCCGGGTCCGAACCGTTGACCAAGGTGTCCATGGGCGTCCAAGGTGCACAGGAGAAGGAGACCAAGCAAGAGGCAAAGGCCATCAAGCCCAGAATGAAATTCACATTGCAGCCTAGACAAACAATCGATAAGAGAGGATCACATCAGTTGCCATCGCTCAATTATTGCGCAGCAAGGCATTGTTGCGGTGCTTGGTGAGTAGTTCGGAACATCAAACGTCAATGTTCGTCAATGCTTCAATCAGGTTTGCCTTACCAATAAATAAATCGTTCGGTTCGTCCATGGTGTGCCGCCGTAGGCGGTTCTGTGGAGGGGGGTGTACCACACTGAGGACTGGGACTTACAGGATCCTATTGGAGGCCATCACTACGGTGGAGGCCATCGCTAGTAGGTTGCCTGGTCTCTTTGTACTTTCAAATGTCTTCTTAGTATCTCAACGTAGTTCAGCTTCGCTGATAATTCTCAGCGCCCCAGCACATCTGTTCATGGTTTAGAGGGATTTGTTGCATCTCCCGATAGATGGCTGGGTGGTTTTCACCGTACCCACTGGCTTTGCATACTCCATGTACATCTCCACTCCTTTTCATCAAAATACCTCCAAGATACTCAGAACAGCGACTTTTTTTCCAAGGAGGGCTTAGAACTTTAGAACTCGTTGAGTGTCCTGTTTGCGAACAGTAGGGAACAGTGAGTATTCATTGTTGGTGCTCATCTGGATGACGGGGACAAATCCCGATCCCTCCCAGCCTATCCAGGCCAGCTCATAGTCACGTTGAAGCAGCTCCATCAGACTTGAGGAATGAGCTGAGGTCGTTTCCTCAAAGGAGAGGCCACAGCTGTAGAGCGGCACATTCACAACTTCAGGAGTCAAAAGAACAACTTGTGAACTTGAGAGGGAGAAGGTACCTCCTGCAACTCGGTGGTCTTTTCCGACCACCGGTATTACCTGCTGCTCGGCGTGAGATGGTATTGAGGGGAAGAACTCACTGAAAGTAGCTGTTGAAGCTAGTCACACGATGAAATGAGTTGCCTCCCACTTTCTGCTAAGAAGTGCCTAGCTTGGGTCATCTTGGGTCCTAGCAGAAGGTATCAAAACAGGTCTATCGTCATCTGACTACATCTAGTTTTCTATCGAACCTCCTGTCAGCCCTACCTACTCCAGCGCAGAGCTCTTTTCCTCTCCACGATCAGGTCTGTGGAGAGATCCCTCACGCGGAGGGCCCAGTGGCGCAAGCGCTCTTGACAGATCCGGTGGTAGGGGATGTCTGGACTGGCCAAGCTCTCGAGGACGTACAGGAGCCTAGGAGCTAGGAGCGGGTCCAAATCAGCCGCAAGACGTAGCCACCATCTGGATCCAGAAAAACACCACTCAAAACAATGATGGTGCCAAACGATGATGCCAAGAGCCTCTATACTCGAAAGAATTCACATGGTGGGTGTCCTGCCCCCACACTCCCCACAAAATCAGGTCCAATTAGCCTGGGCAAAGTGTTCCCCATGTTCCCCTTTGGTGCTTCTGAACGTTCTCGTTTTGTCGTTCGGCACTGAATTAAGAACATTCTGTTTCCCTTCCTTTCCTTCTTCCTTTCCTTCCTTAAGCCCAGCTTAGAGTAGTTAAGAAAGCCTCTTGCAGAGAATCTTTCACAAATTTCACAGAGGACTTGTGTGTTTTCCTCTTCAAATTCTGAACATTTTAGACAAACGTCCAAGTCAGTGATCCAAGTCCAAGTCACAAGTTCTCGGGATGTTCCAGTGCCAACCCCGACTTCGCCGCATTCGACCGCCGCTTGGGCAGCTTTCCGGACTGTGCGGCTGCGGCGGCACGCTGGAGCTCGTGGAGCGAGCGTTCCTCGGGGCCAGCGCGAAGCGGGCGAAGCCGGACTAGGGATAGACTTTAAGGAACTAGCGTTGGCCTCCAACCTAAGAGCAAGGACGCTACTAGGGGCTCCTTGGCCGCACTACTAGGAACAAGGACGCTACTAGACCTAATAGCGATGGCCTCCAACCGGACATTTTGGACCAAAAGAGTTGCACGTTGGCAAGCCGTATGATCTCCTTTGTTCAGTGCGCATGACAAGAATCCGCAGCTGTGCTCAATTTTTGTTGGCTCAATTGACCCTCCAGTCGCAAAAGAAAGCAAAGACAGTTCTAAGACTCCTGACATCATGTGCCATCATGACACGATCCTTGAGCATCCCCCTAGTTTGATATAAAGAGAAGCTGGGCTAAAGGTTGGAGAATCTGGGGCATGCCGAGTATGCCAAGCATGGCACACGTAGGCTTAAAATATGTACCTGAGTTGGTTCCACTATGAGCCAGGCATCCATGAAGTCCTGTGCAGCAGAGACCTTCGTCACGCACACTTGCACTCGAGGGCTTTCCTGAAAGCCGGCGAGCGATGGAGTTTGGGGGGTGACAAACATGGGATTCTGAGTGAATGACTCAGACTCTGCAGATTTTGTGAGTGAACATTTGTAGCCCATTTGGAAACCCACTTGTACACTCTTCAGCCGCTAGACTTTGCCTCACAGGTTCCCTCGCATGTGACTGGCATCAAGGCCACCACCACAACTCCAACCACTCCAACCGCTCTCACCCCTGCACCTTCCGACATCACCATTTTCTGCCCACCCGAGGCTCTCTGCCCATGATGCAGTAGACCACCTTCCGCGCCAGCAGCGCTTGGCGCTCTGCGGCCACTGGTGCCTGGTCCACCACGCGCTGCCGCTGCTGGCGCTCCAAGACCGCCATGCGGTGCAGCTCTTGCACGTGCGGCGGGAAACGCCACGGCCTCGACGCGTCGGCGACGGCGTCGGCGACTCGCCGAGGTTGAGGAGGGGAGGAAGGGGCGACTGGCGACTGGCTGTGGCGCCGTTTCGTTGGGATTCAGTAGCGTTGAACTTTTAAAACCTCCAAGATTGCACACGCAAAGTGCAGCACGCAGTGAATTCCAGGTCTTCAAATCATGTGATCTTCAACGTCAATCTTCAAGAAAGCCGGTCTTTTGAAGATTCAAAGACAAAGAAAGTAACAAGAAGCTACTAGGGGCTCCTGGCATCGCTACTAGGAGCATTCTTGCTTCTAGTAACAAAGAAGCTACTAGGAACAAGTGCATCGCTTCTAGTAACAAGTGCCACGCTACTAGTAACAAGTGCCTTACTAATAGTAACAAAGAAGCTCAAGAAAGCCCAAGCACTGGCGATCGGAGACCCCACCCCCTGCGCCTCAGTAGGACCTCATCGAAGGTCGCTTGGAGCTGTTCCATGGGAGCCCAGGTGGGCCCCAAGTCGCCTGAGGACCAAAAGGAAAGCCCGTTCGCCAATAACTGAATGAAAAAGCTCCGTTCGTAGCGTAGCGATGCCCTTTGCTCCTAGTAGCTTCTTGCTACTAAATGATTCAAATTTTCATACTTTTACTTTAAGAACGAAGACTTGTCAAGTCTTCCCCGAAAAAAGACTGGGAACCAAATGCATAGCGTGAGCTATCCTGTGTCCAGTTGGCAAACAAGCGGCCTACTTAGCAAACAAGTGGCTTTAACCGTCAAACGGTCTCACCTGGGCGGTTGTGATGCTGTCGCGAAAGTATCTCAGGTACTTTCAGGTACTTTTTTATCTCCTACCCTAGTCATTCACTGTTTTACAAGATTATGTCGAGCTTCGTAGCTTCAAACCGGAGAGAGGGCTCCAGTCTTCTGACACAGTAATTATATATATAAATACTTTTACTTCTACTTGACATCCAAATCAGGAACATAACTTGTGAACATGGTTGAACTATGTTGCAAGTCAGGGATGGAGGGTAAATCCCTCCAAGAACAGAACGTGGCTGGACCAGTTCACCTTCTACTCACTTTCTCCGGATGATGTCTATAGAGTCTATTGGGTATTGCTATGGGGGACGGAAACTCGCCGTCTAGTGCTTCGAACTCGGTAGTGGCGAGTTGCCGGGTGAGGGAACCGGCATGAACAGCCCAAGTTGCAAGCAAGTGGAAGCAACTTGTTGAGTGACATTTGTGGATATTTGTGGTTGATACGAAGTGTTCTCTGCGCCACAGGCAGCAAAACTCTCTGATCCACCTACTTCAAGGGAGCCGACAACCCGGCTAGGCTGTACTGAAGACAGTGAGAAGGCTTAGTTGACCAAAACAGCAGGAATCTCAGCATCCATTAATAAGGCGGCTAAGTTGCTAAACGCGCTCTGGCTTGCGAATGCCCGGCCGCGAACCAGCGTGCGGAACGCGCTGCGCTCCACAAGGAACATGGTCCAGGGCAGGTGTTCGCTCTACTCATGTGAGTGCAACTACTGACTGGTCTACTCAGGGTGGAGTGCAGGAGCCTCTGTGGCAGCATGTTCGATCAACAACTGTTTCGAGCGGTTACAGCACCCAACGCAGTGTGTCACGTGCCATGTGAAACATGTTAAATGTTATTGGCACATATTGGCACTGGTTGTTTCCTTCCAGCGTGTTCTCCTCAAAGCCTGCGCTATATAACGTGCTCAATCCAAACGTAGGGCCTGATGGCTGCGGTACGAGGTTCGGTTAGAGGATGTTATAGACCAATTCATATGGATGGGCAAACAATTCCACCAACCAACCAGCAGGGGACACCCAAAAAGAACTCAAACAGTTCTTCTTCACAGATCCAACAGAAAGAAACAACGTTCCTTTCAACTCGAACACAGTTCTCGGACTTCCTTCCCGCTTGTGTATGGCCTCAGCTGAGTTTGTTGTCCACTCCGTAACTTCCTTTTGAACTCCACTTTTGAGCCTGTGGGTTCATGTCCGCTTCAATTTGGGACAAGTCTGGCGAAAGCCAAATTGAACAACGGCGGGTGGATTTGGTCGTTTGGCCACTTCTTTCTGCACCACCCGCTTACGCCATGGCCCGACTTTCTGCCAAGGCTCGTTCAGCTTGTTGACCGCCACGGTGGACCAAACAACCGCATTGAGCTCGCCTCGGTGAAACCGGGCGTGTTGTTCCCCTCGTTGGTGTGGATGGAGGCCCTCTGGAGCAGCTGTACGCCAGAAGAGCACAAGGCATAACACGACTCACAAAACAAACAACAGAACAAGTGCGGTTAGATGCGCATGCGCAGTTGTCTGGTCTTTGTGGAAAACTCAGCACAGCCCGACATAAAGGGCATTGTCTTAGGGTATTGAACCCAAGGTTTCAAGCTCAAATGCAAGGAGACAAACATGCTGGTTTTTACTGGTCATTTTCAGGGTTCACCCGTCACCTGTGATACAGGGAATCGACCACCATAAGAGAGACCGTGTTCAATCCTGATATCAAAACTAAATGTATTCAATTCTCGAGGATGGCCAGCAAAGATGTCCCCGGTTCACTTCTCACTTATCCAGCACGTGCGATTATGCTGACAGCGCAGGTGGCAAAATGCTCTTCTTTCTGCAGCAGGAGCGTCTGCCCAACGACCACAGGGCGGTCCCAAACCAAGGACGGAAGTTGGCACATGGAGCCGTGAGCAACAACTCGCCCCCATGGACCGGATGTGCCTTTGTTCGTACGGACCACTCTACGATCTAGGAGTTCCTTTCGGCAAGTTTCTGCTGTAGGAAGGCCAGTGATTCCTGGGCTTGAAGCGCTGCAGCCATTTGAAGTGACTCTTCACTGGCGACGTCTACACCTCGTTCTGCGAGCAACTGCAGCATTTCTGGCCGATTGCTGCCTATAGCTTGAGTCAGGGGACCATGGAGTCCCGTTGGCCCGAACTCTTGATGAGGGTCTGCACCCTTTTCGATCAGGAGCTCTGCTGCCTTGGCCTCCCCATAGAAGAGTGCAAAGGAAAGAGCGTCACACCCAACTGAGGCATTGGCATCCGCCAATGCACTGATGATCTCTAGCTGACCTGTTAAAGCCGCTCTTTCAACCATGGACCTCCCTGTCAGCTCGGATATGTGGTTCAGTGGCACGTGAGCTTCGATGACCAAGCGGACAAAATCCACATGCCCTAGGGCTGCTGCGTCTCCCCCCAATTCTGCCAAGGCCTTCCTGTTGTTGCCATCAAGGACTTGGCCAATCTCTTCATTCGTTCTCCAAATGGTGTATGCCATTTCCAGTTGCCGAAACTGACAGGCTGTCATGAGAAGATTGGCCAGCTCTTGTGGATCTCGGTGCTGAAGCATGTGGGCAGCACGAAATTGACCGATGTCGCCACGTGCGACCAGCCTGTGGAGTTCCTCGATCTCATCATGCCCTACAAGAGGCAGATCAGAGCTTTGCATTTGTGATGATACAGGAAATCCTTTTTCTGCTCCATGATCTTTCACCATCTGTGCCATATCCACGCAGCCACTCAAAATTGCCCGATCAGCCAATCCGCAGTTGATGGCAGTCTGCTTGTCGAACAAGGGGTGTAGCCAACCCACTGCTTGCCAGGAGTAAGGCATTGTTTTGATAGCGGCGCGCATCGCCAGCGTGTCTCCCGAATGCACTATCCCATGAAGGTGAGATATTGCTGATGAGTATGACTTCTGGGCAAGGAGAGCTACATTTCCCGCTAGCTGCCTCATCTCTTCCACAGTTGAATGAAAAACGGCTCCCCAAATGGCTTGAAGAGAATTCTGCAATCCAGGCACTTTCCAGTTCTTTTGCAGCTTCATCATCTGCTCCAGCAATAGTGAACTCGCATCTGCATGCTCCATCATAACTGCATGGTACAACGGTGGGTTGCCCTCGCAGTCCATGGCAGCCACATCCGCGAAAGCTGTCAAAAGGAGTTCGATCATCCTTCGGGAACCGTGCCGGGCAGCATAGTGCAAGGGAGTGAAGCCATGACAGTCCCTTGCTCCAACTAAATGCTTGGTATCAATGTCCGTGGACAGGAGGATGCGAACCATGTTCTCGTCATTCATCATTGTAGCTTCCAAGAGCTTCCGGGTACCAAGGCGTTCCTTCTCATAGACGTCGTGCTGCACATCTTGCTTCACTTCCACGGCTTTCTTAAAGTTCACCTCAGCACCAACTGCAACACGGCTTTGCGTGGAGCTCCGCTCTATAGTATACTACAGTAGACACAGTACCACGTAGGAGTACATCAAATTCCCACAATATAGTCTGACAGGGTTATCTCAAAGACCCTCGAGGGCAAAATGGGTTTTTCTAGCTCGTCTGCCCACCTGCAACTCACAAATAAAGTCGTTGATCTTTAGCAAGAAGAGCCAGTCTCGGTACTTGGAAGGTCCCACAGGCCGTTGGTATCGGTCGGAGAAACGGGTAAAGTGTGCCTTGAAATCACGCAGCTCATCTGCAGAACTCACCAAGACTTCGAGCAAGTCGTAGGCCACTCCAATGGTCTGGTCGCTAATGTGTTCACAGGTAATCACTAAGGTTCCACGTACCACATCCTCGAACGAGCTCTGCTTCTACAGAAACTTAAAGATCTTAAAGTCCAGAATGAAGACATGGCTGAAGAACATGATACAGTTCTGGTACGTCCATCTATCAGAACATTATAGGTCTGGCCAACTGTTTTGACGGACATCTACATATCTCCGACAGCAGTTGGAACTTCAAAATTGGAGTTGAACACAATCCGGCTTTGTGGGAAGTACACAATTGCACATATGTTGCAAGTTGCAAATGACAACTCTTTTTTGGCAATTGGAACCCACTGGCTCCTTCAATTGTCGGCAATCTCCGTGGTATTCAGTGTTCACTTTGCTTGCAGCAGATGCCACAGATTTGATGGCCGCTGAGCAAAACTCAACACCGTATCCTGGAGTTTGTGAGACATGTTGGTGCAGCTTGTGTTTCAGCTTGGTGCACAGCTCATCAAAGCTCTTTTTGAATCCAGTGGCGAGCTTCAGCATATTCTGCAACCGCGCAGGCATCAATTTCGGGATGTCTTTGCCACATCTATATACAAATGACATTACCAACTGAACTTTCGACGGGGTCGCTAATCAGTTCTAGTTTAGGATGTCGTATGCTTCAGTTCACATACTCCTAGTCCCTTGAGGTTCCTAGCCATTGTTTGAACCATGAACGCACAATAAAGTAGTAACAAGAAGCTACTAGGAGCAAAGGGCATAGCTACTAGGAGCAAGGACGCTACTAGGGGCTCCTGGCATCGCTACTAGGAGCAAGAGGAACTCCCAGTCGGGCTTTTAGACGCATCTCACCTCGATTCCCATGCCCTGGAAGATGGCTGGCTGCGCCGCCGCCGCTTCGCCCGCACGCAGCATCTCAGAGACGCGCTGCCCAACCCTGAGAGAAGCCTGCTGGTAGTCTTTGATACGCTTGGGTCCACCAAGGAGGTCGATCAAAGGTACATCTTCCTGCTCTCTTTCTGTCAGGCACCGCATCCGGTGGTTAAACCGAAATGGGTTCACCTCATTTCACCTGGTTCGCATTCAGATATTCGGCGCTTATGGACTCCTTTCTGGGGGAGCTTCATTCTCCGGTGGCTTAGACATGAAGACTTAGGAAGCCAGCTCTTTTTTGGTAGCCGTTCTACATCAAGCTGGAGTGTTGGTTGGTACTCCTTCACCACCTACACCGATGCGGCTCAGTGTTGGCCTTGCTTCAGCCAGGCATCCGGCTCTGGTTGCTCTGGCTGCTCGACCATGATCTCAGAGCACTTCAGGACTTCTAGGCGCCTTGCGGCTAACTCCAGCTCTTCCTTCGGCACACCCTGTGCCTGTGCTTTGGGGAGCAACCGAAGGATGGCATCTTCGTCGTTCTCTTCCTTGGTTTCTGCAGATCCAGCCTCTACCAGCTTGTATTTTAGTTGCATTTGTGTGATAGATGCCATCGCGGCGCGGCTGGCTCTGGGAAAGTCACTTGGAAGTAAAGAGACCCATAACATCCTTCATTGTAATCAGAGTCCTAGAAAGACTGGATCCCAGGATCCCAATCACGACTGTTCCTTTCTAAGGCAACAGGATTGTCGGACTTCAGTCTCTCAGGTTCAACACGAAGGCAGCGTAATTTCCGAAATTGAACTAGCTGCCTCGCGCAAAAACCAATGGAATTTGCTCCAAGTGCACTGAAATGGCAGCCCCCTTGAACAAAAATCCACCAGCCCCCGAGATGGAATTGAAACGCCCGAGGTTCAACTGCTTCTGCCAATGCAAGCTTCAAGTTCTTCATGTCCTGTTGTGCTTGGGCAGTCTTCCGAGCTTTTCTCTTCACGTCCACATTGGCAGGCCGCACAAAGAGCCCATGCGCCTCCTGCGAACAGTCTTTCTACAAATGCAAACATATACAGTGACAGTGGCATCTAGACTCTTTAAAGGTTGATGGAGTCATATGGCATTTCGTTTCAATCTTGAAGCTTGCCATTTGTGACCCCTAACTTTCAATCGTCACTATCCAGGACTTTGAGAAAACATGATCTCCTCCAGGCCTGAAAAGGATCACCTTAAAACATGGCCGAAGAAAGGAATTCATCTTGAAGATCAAGGGTCTTCAAAGACCGCCCGCCTCACAGGTGAAGTAGCGTTGATCCTTCACTGAGCCATCATTTTTGCCACGTGGCTCCTCCAGCTCCACCCCGACCCAGTCGCCCTCCGCGAACTTGGTCGTGCCCAAAAAGCGGATCCACCCGCTCACCTGCTTCTTCTCCACCCGCACCTGCAGGAGAAAAATAACAGGTATCCAAGAAGGACAAAGCTGTGGATGGCTGTACTTTTGAAAGGATGAATGCTCACTCTCGCAAAGAATAGCAAAGGCCCCCAAACTGGAAGGCAACTTTCCAAATGCAGTGCCAAACCTTTGTGGTCTTGAAGTTTCATGCGAGTCTCTTGGGGCGTAAGTTTTATGTTCCTTGAGCTTGCTTGGGTGCACTTATTGGAATCATAATTGTTTGGTTTGTGGGTGGTGCTGCTTTTCTTCCAAGCATTGAACTGCTCCACTTTGTCAGTTTTTCAATATGTTGAAATGTTGTTCAAGATGTGTGATGTGCATCTTGCAAATAGGCGTTCTGTTGACGGCTGTTCATACTCTCTTTGGGTCTGAAGCGACGCCATTGTGCCATTCCAACACGGTTTGGCATCGCTGAAGGTGAACACATTCAACCCGTTTTTTCCAGGGGGCCAAGGATGTTTTACGGTTGCGTGTTTGAGCTCCTTGGCTGGATCGTGTCTCGGTTCCAGCCTGAATGCTCATTCCAAGGGAAAGATCACTGATTGCCGGCATTGCTCAGTTTGCGTGGCGATCTGCTTGGCAGACGGAAAAACGCTTGAGCTTCAGTGGTCTCAAAGCCAACGTGAGTGAATGAAAGTCCGAGAAGAAGCGAAGGGACTCAAAACAAGTCCTCTTTGTATTTGAAATGTCCCCTTACAAAGAGGACTGAGTATGACATGACCTGAAATAGTTGCCCAATGCAGGCGGGTCCTTGGCTTGGTCTGATGACATCCGGAAACAATTGGTGGCTCAGTGACATACTGTGCGGCTTGTGACCAAGCGCGATGTTTTCTTGGTAATGTGTAAACATTCATGAATTCTGAATATGCGACACAATCTATGTCAATCGAAGCCACTAGTGGCTACATCCAACATCCCCTTTCAGCCACCTTCCACCAGCCCTCTATCAAACCCTCCAACAAGGTAGGCAAGCTGCAACAAACCCCCACAGCTGCCAGTAGATAGTGAAGCCGCTTGGCGCGCTTCTGGCCGGCTTCGCGGATCCGGATCTTCGGTGACAAGACGGGGGAGGGAAGGGAATTAGGCAAATTGAGTCGAGTTTCAAGTGATTCCTGTAGAGACTGGAATGCCAAGGTTGAACCAAAAGAGACCGGAACATGCAAATGAACAAACCAACAACATGCATCATTTGATGTGTAAGAACGGGTGATTCATGTTGATTCCCACATTTTGCGTGTGGAGCATGGATGGTGCTGGAGAGCCTCGGAAGGGACGAGACTCATCTTTCGGAATAGACCCATGGGTTTCTCTATTGGTGACTTGGGAGATCTCCAGAATTTCAGAGCGTTTCTGAGCACAGTAGCGACAGGTGAAGGCACACTGCGGATGGCTCGGCCCCAAATCTGAATGTAGGATATGTAGGACAGGAAGGAGTGGATAGAACCTTCCTTTGCATCGGATCAATCGACGATGTCGTCTAGTTCAGGTCTCAAACACCAACCAAGCTAAAACTCGGCCGTTCCTATGCTTCAAACACCTATGCCCCGGACTTTTAAAATTGCTCTGAACATTTTCTTGAACTGAGCCCAGGTAGTTCGGGGATCCAAATTCAGCATGCCCAAACTAATGCAATGCTCTTATCGGAATAAGAACCCTTGTGAAGGCCATATAGTATTGTGGGCAGCCCCAATTAAAAGGTCGACATGTCCTGGCGAAGAGGTTGATGTTTTCCACAGGATGGCACGGATGGAAAACCACCTCGCAAAGCTCTATCAGGACGCACGCCGCGCAGCTGGAACGGTGGCCGCGCCAGCCAGGCGACGTCGTTCTTCTGGATCCTTGGTGCACGATGTCCGACATCGCTGGATCAGCCGGGGTGGCCCTTTGGACGCAAGGAACCTTTTCAGGACCTCATTTCAATGAGTCTCTACTAGCCGAGCCGAGGCAAATCTCAAGCGGCTCTTTTTTTGCTTGACTTATCCAATCTCCACACACTCTTCGATGCCATTGGATCTTCGTGTAGAGGGTCCCAAGAGGCCTCGGCAGTTTTTTTTTCCAACATTTCCAACAGGCAGGGCTGCTGAAAAACATACATGAAACATTCCCCATAGATCCCTCAGTTTCTCGTAGTTCCTCGTGCGCCAGGCATCTGTGGAGCAGCAAAGAAGCCCAAGGGCACAATGGCGCCCGCCAGGAGTGCCGCTGGCGCACGCATGTTGTCGAACCTGAGAAATTGGGTTTGGCAACATGCGCAACACTTGCGCACAGGAGAATCCCGGAAGTTTCCATGCTCATCCACCATGTGTAGATAACGAAGGTCCGAATTAACACCAAAAACATCTGAAGAACATGGATGGTTCCACATTTGTTTACTTCGGGGGCGACTATTTACTGAGTACGTGAGTGGAAGTCACAATGGCCGAGACTGGAGACGGATTGAACTGCAGATCAACCTTGTGACAGTTGCAGAAAACCAATCGCGGATGGGTCTCAGAAATTCTCTGTTCATCATAGTCATAAGACTTGCACTTGGACGAGGGTGGGCAGTTCCTTTCTCATCAAGGGTCAATGGTTCCTTTTCTACACCTACTTGTCCCACTCCCTAATCTGGTGAACGCCTATCACTTATTATTTAGTTAGTGCAGGAGCTCCATTTGACAACAATCCTCCCCAAGTTCAATCACCGCAAGTGATTCATCACGGCACAAACTGTGTGGCTTAGATAGGCATACCATATCACAGCCCTGAGAAGACAAGAAAAGCAACAACACCACATTCATGCACTTCTGTGATCAAAAGCATTGTGCCCCGCCGCTTCACACGAACCCCTGACATGAGCGCCACAGGTGCCCCTGACATGCGCGCCGCTTGCCCGCTGTAGTCGGCCCAACGTGGCACCACGGAACCCTTGCCTGGTTGGCGGGGCGTTGGGCTGGACGAGATCTCACACGAACTTTTTCGAGCCGACTCTTTGTTGTTACTAGGAGCAAGGACGCTACTAGGGGCTCCTGGCATCGCTACTAGGAGCAAGGACGCTACTAGGAACAAAGGATATCGCTACTAGGAGCGATCGGACGCTACGAACGGGGCTCCTGGCCTTTACTAATTACTAGGAACAAGAGGACGCTACGAACATAACAAGAAGCTAAGCTATCCTTCACCGACCGGATTGGAACATTGTTGTTTGAAGCAAAGTGCACCTGAATGTGGAAAGGACCTGACCTTCCCTGAACCATGGAAGTGGAACATGACCCAAACTCGGAAAGAGATGCAGCATTGGTGGCTGGGTTGGATATCCAAAAACAGCAAAAGGGTCTATATTGAGTGTCCCGTGAAACTTATGGTAATCTTTGAGGGCCCCAACAAAAACCCTTTAGGTCATTACACGCACAGGTAGGTCAAGACTGAAGGATGCTGCCTTTTTCAATCACGTGGCCATGTGGCCGCCAGAGTCCTCTAGACAGGTGCAAGAGAAAGACAGACCGTGGAGACGGTTGGGAGATAGATGATTGGCCGGCCACTTTCACCAGGAAGGAGGTTTGCAAGCATTAGGATGCTATTAGGTGGAGGCCATCGCAAGTAGGTTGGAGGCAATTACTACTAGTAACAAGAACCTACTAGGAGCAAGGACGCTTGCGCTGCTTCCATACGCAGCCGCCAACGAGATCTGGCTTTGCACTTGTACAAGCCGTTGCAAGTCATCAACGGATGCGTTCTCTGGCACATAGTCAACGATTGCAGGGCAGAATCTCTTTCGTGTGGCCAAAAGCTCTGCGCCAAAGAAGGCTCCCCCCCAGCCGTCGAAGTGCACAGGATGGAGTCCGGGGCACCTGCCCGGCCATGGGACTTCACCGGTTCGCACCGGCGGAGCACGAAAGGACCTCCAACCACTGCACTGGTGGCCAGTTGTCGTTTTGGAAGTCGGTGCAAGACCAATGAAATGAGAGACGACACAATGAGGACATGAGGAAAACAACCATTGGCTGATGCTGAAAGACCCTTAGAAAGAGCTATTGCTCACGTGGAAGGATGATTTCGCTGAAAGGTGCTGACAGCTGTGGATCTTGAGGGGCTCCACAGGCAGCATGTCACACCTCTTGGCGCCTGACTCTTTAGATGTGTCCTCCCCTCAAAGAAGCACTATCAAAAGGGCAAATGGCTGAAACACTCTGGAACTGTACGAAATTCCACCGCTTTCATCCTCCTGTGGTCGGTATTGTTGATTGGTACAGGACACGCTCCAAGACTCTTGCCATTGCAAGTACTCGCTTGAGGAACAAAACATTGAAGACCGTAAAAGAAGCAAACCGGGCTTGACAAGCTCGACTCTCAAGTCTCGATCCTGGATTCTTCATCTCGCCTGGGTACTGGCACACCGTCAAGCCTCAAAAGAAGGTCAGGGCCTCTTTAATAAGGCCCTGAAAGGGGGTCCTATTGACAAGGGTCTTACTTACTTACTTTCCTTCTTTCTGACTTACTTTCTTTCTAGGTTGCCCTCGCTATGAGGTTGGAGGCTATCGCTATTAGGTTGGAGGTTCTTTCCCTCTTTTCAACTTTAGTTATGGTTCCTTCACGTGGTCTCGCTCCTCTCGCCCCTTCTCGACCCCGAGTGACCCACCCATCGAGCCGGACCCACGAGCCTCCACCGCCAAGCCGTCCACGCTCCCCGACTGACGCGTGTCGAAGAAACGACCGCGATGTCCAGGTGAGATGATGAGATGCTCTGAGATGCTGGGAACGTGTTCCCAAACCGAAGACCGGAAGCTCCTACCAAAGTGCAGTTTAAGTTTCTTTGCTCAGTTGCCCGTGCGGCTAGCATGACACTTTGGTACTAAATCAAGGTGGCCTGGTTTCTGCTCGACCAAACTCCACCAACTGTGATGTGTTCCTCACCAAAGAAGACTTTCTTTTGAGATTCCGCATGGTGGATTCACTTTGGCTTGGAGTTTCTTGGAGCCCCCCCAAGAACTTGGGCTGGACTCGACTTGCCCAGCCAGCTCTAGCAACATTGGAGATGCTGCAAACCACAGGGCTTTCACTTTCTCACGGTGCGGGTCTGAAGGTTTGCGCGCCATGCTGAAGCTTTGCTCGGCAGGCCCCCGCCCATGCCCTCCGGCTAGTAAACCTTTGACCCTGTGCCTCGGAGGCACCCAAAGGGTCGCCACTTCCGGTGAGGGGTCTGCGTAGGGACCTGCATGAGGGACGTGGTCTGCGAATCTGGGTGCAGCTTGGTTGGGTGCAGTTCAAGAAGCTACTAGCAACAAGTGCATCGCTTCTAGTAACAAGTGCCTTACTACTAGTAACAAGAAGCTAATAGTAACAAGTGCCAAACTGATGGGCTGGGTTTCTCCTCATTGACTAGACTCATCACGAAGAAGGGAGACTGCTTTTGCAAGTTGACCAGCTGGCTGGACACCTGCTTTTGTTGGAGTCTTTGGCTGAAACGATCCTGAAATCTCAATGACACCGTGGCCTGGCAGATTGCGAGGAACAAAGGGCCTCAGTTGTGTGCGGGCCCGCACACAACATGGTGAAACTCTTTCAACCTTTCTGTCCAGCTGGTCTTTTTCAAACACTTCATTGGCTTTGTTTGGCCAAAGATTGGGTCAACCGTGAGAGTGTGATTAGCCTCTATTGAAAGTCCATGGGCTTAGTTCAACTCATTCGGGATCCCCAATAACAGCAACTCTGTCAGGATGTCCCTGTAATTACTGTAATTCTTGGTGAGCAAACGGCTGAAGAGCATGCTCCAGCAGCACCATCTACACCGTAGTGTGGTGGAAAATGCCTGCTGGCAAACAGCAGCGAACGAGCTCTTGGGTTCTCAGAGTCACACAACTGATACAAAACCTGGTGACTTCTGTTTCCTAAGAACACCATTTTACCGGTGAACAAGAAGCTACTAGGGGCTCCTGGCCTTACGACTAGGAGCAAGGACGCTACTAGGGGCTCCTGGCATCGCTACTAGGAGCATTCTTACTACTAGTAACAAGAAACTACTAGGGACGCCTGGCCTTACTAGTTGTGCCGCTGGTGCCACTGACTCGCCCAATGACCAGGCTTCCGGGCCACTACCCCAAATGGCCAGCGCGAGGACCAGCGCCCCACCTGCGGTTGTTTGTCTTCAAGACACAATCATGAGTCTCATTGATGTCATGATGACAAACTTCAGCAAAAGAGTTTGACCTTCCTACTTCCCTTCATTCGCAGGCTTTGTGTCTATCGTGGAGTAATGAATTTCATTTCAGGTGGCAAGTCTTGGACGGTGAACTGCAACACTGTTTGGTATGAATTTGTTTGAATGCTAAAGGGTGCAAGTTAGACCACCATGAAAGAAGAAATCATCCTGAACCCGGGACCCATTGCAAGAAGGACGTGTCAGCTTAGCAAAACCATGCCTATCTCCTGTTCCCATCTGTTCGCTCAAGCACTCTATTTCT